TTTGCCATCAGAACACCACTTCACGTACCTGATCCTGAAGCACTATCACGGGTCAGAAGGGCATGTCGGGGCAACTCAGGTATTATCAGCTGTCAGAGAAGGGTTTTGGGTATTCGGGGGAGGGATAGCCGTTCGAAAGGTCACAGGAAACTGTAGTCGTTGTCGGAGGCGAAATGCAAGGCAACAGCACCAGCTGATGGCACCTTTACCTCAAACCAGGGTCCAGGATGTTCTCCCCCCTTCTACCGATGGGGTAGATTGTTTCGGTTCCATTTTGGTCATGCAAGGTAGAAGCTCAGAAAAGCGTTATGGGTGTATGTTTACTTGCCTCAAACTACGGGCTGTTCACCTAGAAGTGGCAAATAGTTTTACGACAGACTCGTTCACTATGGCACCAATGAGGTTCATCAGTAGGAGATATGAAGCGATAATGGATCTAACTTGGTAGGAGCCAAGAACGAGTTGCGTAAATGTTTGAGAGAATGAAAACAGGTGCGGATTCATGGTCACTCGCTCGACAAAGGAATTGGCCGGTATTTTAATCCCCCGGCTGCAAGCCACTGGGGAGGGGTTCGGGAGCTAACATATGGTCGGTAGGGAACGCAAAGTATTAAGTGCTCCAGAGGATGAGCAGCCACTAAAGGATGAAAGTCCCATGACATTAATGTCGGAAGCTGGACGTATGGCCGACAACCGTCCATTGGTCCAGCTCACTTACGATGTTGAAGATCTAACAGCACCAATCCCAGAAGAGCTGTTGCTGTTAAGAGACAGCTTAGAAGGGCTTGGAGGAATATACGGGAGAAATGGATTTTCTAGGAGATGGCGACAAGCCAATTATCTGGCAGAAATATTCTGGAAACGTTGGTCTAAGAGGTATGGTTCGTTGTCACAACAACGGCACAAGTGAACGAATCTTGATTTGGTCGTGATATTTTCAGACGAAGAGGAAAGAAATAAATGTCTTCCACTACTGGAACATCCAGCAGTGTGCAGTGAGGATAGAAGTAACAACGTCCAAGTTGACGCTTATTAGGGACGTTCGTAAGGCGTGTCACTTGGAGACGTCGGATGAAAGGTTTTGACAACCAACTGTTTTGGATTTGGTCGGTTCTCACTTTGGGTTTTGGGGACTCCGAAAATTCGTATCTTCCCTAGGTGCTACTCAGCGGATTTTACGTTACAATCCTAGGTACACATTAAACGAATGTGTCGTAAAAATTTCTACCAATAGTGCTTCTAAGATTGCAGACATAATAGGACCTTTTTAGATATAAGTAATTTCCAACCACAAAGGTGCAAAAGCCACGTCTGTTTATCGTCTGGCCATAAACCACGGATAGTGGCGATATGAAGATATCATTTGCTTACGAAGAAAATGGACTATGACGAATACGCATCAAACCCTCTGGAAATCTTAACACTAAACGAACAGAGGATTTGACTAAAACCTTCGAGAACCAACATCATTGATTTTAATTTTATCATTATTTGTCCTTTGGGCTCCTGGTGGAACACAGAGCGTCAGTGGCACGTCACCATTTCACTTTGTTCTCTGCAGCCTTTTAAACCTGGCTTCACGACTGCCCACAAGCTTTCACTTCTTCCCCACACGATCTCCTCCATATCACTCCCGGACGCCCAACTCCCCCTTTGGGTTTCGCCCGAAGTTCTGGTCCTTGATATCCCCAAATGGGTCTTCCCAGTGTGCCTGATCCATCTCCACTTTCTTCTGCATATTTGTTGGGCAACTACATCATCAAGATAACCTTCAATGATGACAACAGGAATCAAGTGGGGGGAATGTGTTCCCAATTCTCAGAAATCTACTAATTCTCGAAAGGACGTAGGTGTGCTGCCACGAAATCCACCATCTAACAAACAGGAATTACCGGTCCCATTCATTCGTTTGACTCTCTCACCACATGGACATTTATCGATCCTCGGACCGCTCAAATTTCTGGACGGTCACAAAGGCAACGAAAATCCGGGACGACAGTTGAACCTAAGGGGCATCGTTTTTTAGGGCATATATGAGACGAGTTTAAATGCTGAACTTTGGTGTTTCGCGGAAAGTATGTGTTGTGACGCTGGGAGATGTCGTACGCAAGTGTGACCGACGGATAAATGTTCTGTCTAGAGTAGTGTAAAAGACTGTGTCCAAGACTGGATATATGAAGATGAAAGTGAAACATGTTCCGCCAGTTGACAAATCAACGGAAGGTCATAATATTCTACCAGCAATGTGAAAATTCTAGCGATGCGCAGAACTTTTGAAATTCAGCATTGCGGTTCTTCTTCAATCCTCAGTTAGGCATCCTGAGCTATTTCGAGTGCCACCCCGCACCTGTCTGTAGCATTACATGACAGCGCACCTACAACAGTCGTCTTCTCCTACACCCTTCTACTGACAGTTAACTGTTTTTGGGCACCACTGGCCTCAGACAGGAGCAGAGACTGCCTTACCTCGTGTACCTCCACATCCAATCACCAGCGGCCACACATTAACTGGAACGAAGACTCCTTGATTATATCTTGTACCGAGGCACGATGAGCTAAAAGAATTAACGGCAGTTCCGTCTCCCAATTTCCCCTCTCGAAGCCAACCACTACCTAAGTGTACGGTATTCCTTTCTGTCACACTGTTAGTCTGCGGGTAGTACGGCGTCGTCCCTATCTTGACATCAAGCTGATCCAAATAGGATTTGAATTCTTTACCCTTGGCCGGCCAATCAAACTTGCAGCACACTATGATCCATGACAATATGCCGCGGTCAGTCTTCGCGCGCTGACCAGGAATAGCTACAGCGTTAACTTGTCGTGTAGCTTGCTCCGTCATCACCATCGGGCATTGGATGCCGCTAGGTGTCTGCGGGAATGGTCCCATTACGACCACAGGTCACCAACTGCCTCCAATGGAATCGACTGAGGCGGCAGTCATACGTGCCGATCACCTTTCATCAGTTGACAAAGAGAACAACCCAGGACGCGGTTGGTAACATCTTTTCTCATACCTGGCCAGTATGCACTTTGTCTGAGAAGGTCGGCTGTCCGTGAGACACTTGTATACACTAACTGATGGCATTCTTGTAACATTTTTCGCATAGACGTTTCGGAGCCTTGTGCCAACCAGCTGTGTTCTCGCCACGTCAGCATTCCATAAGGCGAATAAATCTAAATCGGGTCCCGTTCCACTGCATGTACACCGTATGCAATCCCTGGTAGTTCGTTTGCCTCGCCGGATTATGATAAGGGGCATGCAAACCAGTTTACCTCCCCTGTCATGTAGCCGGTTGTGAAATTGTACTCTTGCAGTCGCAACACCCAATGTGACAATTTCCTCTGGGGTCTCTCGCCGTCTTTAGCCACTGTAGAGGTTTGTGGTCAGTTTCAATATAGAATCGTGAATCGAGGAAGTACGATCTCCATTCCTCAAGTGCCCGAACTATCACCAGACGTTCTTTTTAACTGTGGAATATTTCTGTTCTGTAGGTGTCAGAACAAGGCTGGCATAATACACTACTCATTCAGCCTGTCTCAGAACTGCACCTATCCCATAATCACTTTCACCGGTGGACATGATGAATGGTCTTCTGGCTATTGGTAGTTTCAGAGTCATCTGGCAACTTAGGAGTTCTTTGATGTGATCAAAGGTTTTCTGTGCCTCCTCCGTCCACAAAACGTTTGGGTTGCCGAATAGCTTATATAAAGGTGCTACTATCTCAATAAAATTTTGAGGAACCGACTGCAACTCTACCCTCACCCCACCCTACTAATCGTTGATGCCACCATTTCCTTCACTTCTGCATCAGTGCCAATATTAAGCCTCTCCCATCTTCCTCAATTTATCACCCTGCGTCCATTACCAACCATATAGAACGGTGAAACAGCATTCATAGTCTCCCAAAATCACACTGCTAACTCCACATCCCAGCTTTCAACGTCCACACTCAACGCTAAGTACAACAACACCTGTCTCTCGTCGAGACTACACAATCATGTCACTGATGTGTGCAGTGTTGCCGAGACATCACACGCATATACGACACAAGTGCGCCTACCCACTTGACCTCACTTAGTCTCTGTGATTAGTCTGGACATTCCAAACTCACTGGTCAGTGTTATCCGTGAATGCAAAGGTTGGCTAGTGTTTGCGTGTCGTTGTGTGGACTAGACTATTTTATGATTGTTCAGTGCCTGTCACTGTTGTTTCTCTGAGGTTAGTGGTCCTCCAGTGTCTGGTACTTTCCATTTGTCGAATATTTCTCCTGCACTGTATTTCTATAGTGTCTCCGTCCCGTACCGGTTCTAAATTCCAGTTGTTTTGTCTTTTAGTGGACTCCTTGTTCTTTATGCTGTGAATTGTGGCAGCTTAAAGTAGTGCACTTTTCTCCCCGGTTTGTGGCTGTTGTTTTTGATGCCCCAGTTTTGCATCAAACATTGCTAGTGATCTGAACATTTTAATGTGTCATTCCACACCATTTTTTTACGGTGTGACTAGTGGTCTATTTTCTGTCCCCACTGTAATGTAAATCACTGACTGGCCAATCTTTACTTTTAATATGCAAATGTCTCAAACTGGGGACAAGGTCATTTTTCATGTGTGTACAAATCCACATGCTTTGGGATTGATTATTATATTCTCGGAGTAATAAACTCTCCCAGCATTCAGCTTCGATCTTCTGTCTGTTCGTCCCGGGTTGCAGTCGGTGGCTCTTGCGTACAAAGTTAGCTGTCAGTTAAGCGTGCGTGCTATATCTGTTTGGAATATATAACTTGTCTTACGAAAATATAACAGTGGTTAATCCTTTTCTTCGCTGAATGAAATCATTTAGAAATCAGAGGCGAGAAATAGCGGGTAACTTTAAGGATAGTAGTCGGTGAGCCCACTGAAAGTGTTGAATGAATACGTTGGTCATGTTTTAGAACAAATTGTGCAAATACACTTTCCATCTATATGATTAAATTTAGACTGATAAGTACAAAATTACATTGTTCAATCACATAATGAAAAAATATATCCACATTCCAAGACCAGTTATGCCTAGAGAGAACCTGGAAAAAAGAAGATTTATTTACTGGTAAGGAATAGACAAATGCAATAGGGGCTAAATCTGTAACTGAGTAGAACGTGGAGTCATCATCAAGATCAACATAGGATTAGGCTTTACTGCATATCGGTCCATGTTACCATCCTCATATCCGCACATGAAGCAACAAGGCAGTAAAATGGCAGTTAAAGAAAAAGAGACCGGTCACAAAGTAATAAAATAGGGGAAGGATGGATGGGAAAACTATGAGATTAAGTAGAGCGGTTATTATGGAGGGGAATGTATGTATACACCTACGCCACTGATACCGGTCCTAAGCCGCATCACCTACAATCTCCAACCACTAGTTTCTTCTGTCTCGCGAACCTTAACCAACTGGTCTGCAAAGCCCAACATGGCTCAAACGGACAGTCAAGGACTACGCACATTTGTCTCATGTTTTAGTCTGGCCGACCTGAAACTACTTTGGCCGATATTGTGCGACGAGGTAGGGGGTGGCTAGGCATACGTGACGTGCTCCAGACACCTCAGTCGAAGGTTCACAACCGAATCGACTGTCTTGCTTTTCCACCCTAAAACCCTAAGCCTGACTTCTGCGCTGCTCAAGTAGTAACACCACGGAACACGGCCTATGCTACTAAAGCAACGATGATCAAACACCCGAAGCCCTCTCATATCTTCTATCTTTAATGGCTGTTTCACAGTCATACAGTAGAATAGAGTGAACTGCAGTACAGCACACTCGACCCTTGATAGACAAGCGGATATCGCAGCGTCACAGATGGCTCAAGCTGGTAAGCTCAACTGGGCCAATCCTTTCGGAGGTTACGTCGGCCCCTGAGCCACCAGGGTTGGCTCGACCTCCTAGGTAAGTGGAGTTTTCAACGCACTCAGGCACTTCACTCTTTAGTGTTAGTCGAAGCACCGTTGAAGACTAGTTCTAGAGCACCAGATTGTATTTAGGTGGCGAGATATGCATCCTAATCATTCTCAGATTGCCACCCAAGGTGTTCAAAAGAACCTACATCTTATCAGTGTCTTCACATTCATCTGCGTATTCTGTAACTACCAAAAACCTGTGAAAAATCGATCCCTTTGATGTCAGATGACCAGAGGGGGATTTTTATAAAAACGCTTGTGATAAAAATGAGTAAAAATGGAGAGAGTAGGCATCCTCAACAAACACTACTCGATGTACACAGCCCACCCGACATCTCCTCCTAGGCTATGATACGCCCATAGGTACTCGAGTAAAGAACGTTTGATAAGGTGAAGTAATTACGCGGTGCTCCTTTCAATGAGAGAAATTCCCATAAGACTTCTCGATCGACGCAGTCCGATGCCGCCTTCGGGTGGTGTAGTATAGCTTTTGTCGGGCGTCGGTAAACGTGCCTGTGTCCCAGGACCAGGCGGAGAGTGAATATTTGGTCGATGCACCCACGGTCAGGTCTGAAACTCCCTGCTTGAAGACTGGGATAACCAGTGGTTGAGATCAGTTAGAGGGGATCATATCTGCCTCTCAAACACTAGTTGACACTTCATCTTTGACTAGAAGTACTCTATCACCGCCCTGGTATACTTTAGAAACCAGTCTATCTGGTCCTGTTGCCCTTCCTCGTTTCAAGTTACCTACCGCTCTCTTGACTTCTGAAAGTTTTCGGGAGCCAATCTCAATGATCCATTCAAGATCAGACTGGCTGCAAGCAACGCAATAGTAGCTAGAGGCCAGTCGAATTGTTACTTGGAGTGTTCTGCCCTTAGTTCCAGTCGTTTTCCGCAGCGAGTGAATCGCAGACCCATCCTTCTAAATAATTGTCCACTGTTATTTATCGCCGCCACCTTTCCCATCTCTTTGAATTTCGCTGCCCATCACTGTTCGTGATCACTATGTAGGCTTTTGTCAGTCTACATTTTAGTTGTGTTCGCTTCTCATTGTACTCAGAGTCTGCAGAGATGCGTTCACGCGCATCTGTTAATTCAAAGGAAGCTGCTAATATCCACTGGCTCTTTTTAACCACTCTTCGTGAGTCAGCCACAGTCTTCAAAGCTGCCTTTACAGAGAATTGGAGATGACACCAAGCTTCTTCTGGATGATAGTGTTCTGTCCCGATAACTGCCTAGCCAGTTTCTCACTGAAACCGGTCTTAGTGTTCTCGTTGTTGAGCTGCACTTGTAATGCTATTGTAGCTAACGTTTTTCTACTTTCAATGAGACCCAGACATATATACATGGTCGCGATCCGAACACGTGCTCCAGTAGAGTGGCAGTCTTCCACCGATCCTCTCTAGCGACTACTCATAGCATTGTGGTGCGTCTGTGTTCATCACTGGACTTCACGTCAGACAGTGTCTTTCTTTATGTCTGAAGTTTGTGTTAGCCACAAATGGACGGTTATCTGAGCATAATTGTAGTTGGTGATCATCATTATCTGTTCGTTCAGCCGGGATTCCGAAAGTACCACCTAAGTGCATTTCTGCCTGACTACGCCTACCCACTTGTGCACTGAAATCACTCACAACAACAACCACGTCTGAACGCTAGGCTTTCAGGAGGAGGTGAGACAGTTTTCAGTAGAACTCATCCTTCACTTCTTCCGAACTACAGTCAGTGGGTGCATAAACAGAGATTACAAAGAGACAACTGCGAGTTTCACTGTTCCTTTAGTTCTCACTGTGCTGTCCAGTCAGACTGCGGATGAGTGACTATCAACTAGGATCCAGTCTAGTAGTGAGCTAGCTGCCCTACTGCTTAATGCTGTGCTATGCCTACAACTGCAAGACCGCGAGAGTTAACCACCGAATCTCTGGGAACTCGGTGAATTCTGCGGATTCACCATATTGGCCAGGAGAGGCTAAGTGAATAACCGTGCTTAGGTCCTGTATGCGCGTCTCACAAACCCAGCAGATATGAATGTCCCAAATTGCTAAAGTTTTGGCCTGTGAAGCTTGTTGGCCAATTTGACGGAGGGTGCGGATATTAAAGGTCCCGACGTGTAATTTGGACTGTGGTTTAAAGAAATCGAGAATGCCATTCTGTGGACTCAGATCGTTGTCGAAAGCTGCACAGCAAGAAGAAACTAAAGATGATGTAGGATTGTTAACTGAGGCGTGAAGGAAGATTAGAAAGTAAAGATGAGGGGGTGCATAGTGAACTGAGGGAACTTGAGTGCTGGCAGAGTTGTGGGAGCGGTTGGTACTTTCTAGCTGCGCAAACCATGTAAGACTAAGTCTTTTTGAGGTATCCGAAAAAGAAGTGTCTCTGCGTGACCGCAGAGCCCAGAGGATATCTGCTTGAGTCTAGTCACGTACGGCCCTTTTAATGCCACGACCAGTGGTCTGTATTATGGAAGATATAGTCGGATATACGTCTTGTGGTTTTAAATCACCACTAACCACTGGTGACTGACCTAAAAATAGTAGATTTCTCATTATAAAAGGCAACAGAAATTGAAGTTACGGCGCTAATGATTATAAATAAGGAGTGGAATTCAGTACTGCCAGTATGAGCTCTACACGGATTGTAAACAGCTAAGCTGACGTATTAGAAAAATTGTATTTTGAATGTGGCTTATTACGATGGGAAGTATTTGCAGCTTATGTGGAATATTTTTGATGATTTGATCTTGAACCTCGTATTACTCTTAGAGAGGAAACATCTCAATGCGAATTCCACACTTTGGTTACCTTATCGGAATTGACTAGGTAGTATATATTTAAGGTGAGCTTGCCTGCGATAAGTTACTAAATTTTAGGTTGAACTTATCAATATATGGATAATCCAATCTGGAAGTTTGTGGAGATTTATTAATTGATTTCAGGTTGGAATTCACTATGCAGTGACATCGGTGGGTGTAACGCTGGAAAACTGGGAGCACTGGATGGATGTTTCGTCATAGTATGGGACTCCTCAGCAGTGCGCACTCATGACCCCGCCAGGGACCTAATGATGAACCCCAACCTGGAATCAATCATTAAGTCTCCACAAACCTCCAGATTGAATTAGTCTGGCATACGTTGGTGACTAGCTTCGAGAGGTAATTTCCGAAGTCCCGATGAGAACTCGTGACCAGTGGAGCCAACCAAGTCGAACATGAGGACAGTTACTCAACAATAACGTTGAATAGAGGCCGTTCTATATCGCGAACTGACAAAAGAAGAAATATGAACGACTGGATTCCGACCCAGTTGCTCAATGGTCAAATTTTGACCGCGGAACCTGGAGGTTCTGGGTTCAACCCCTGGCGAGGTCGTGGGTTCGCACCGCTGAGGAGTCCCATACTAGGACAAACGGGCAGTCCAGTGCTCACAGGTTTCCAATGTCCCTCCAAGTGATGTCGGTCCATGATGAATTCCAACCTAGAATGGATAATCGATGGGGAAGTCATGTGTTTCTTGTTAAGCTAAGGTTCAATGATCTAAACAACTGACCGTCAACCGTTGGGTTACAACCTTGAATCCTAATCTACTAATTGGTGGCAATATACGTGACTCATTGTCAGGAAAGCAAAAACTTGAGTTACATTTTTTCCTCCCAATGATGTCATGTGCACCATAAAAAGGTCTGATACGTTGTCATGCGATGGGCGTCTTGTCAATGTAACTGCATAATGAAAATGTTTAGTCTCCACTGTATTTATCCACAGGAAATTAGCGCAAAAGATACATACTATCCGATGACCACCAGACTTTAGCGATCAGCACAAGTAGGTCGTGGTTATCAAAGAAAAATTTGAACGGAATTTCTTGATGTCTTTGGATTCTTTGACATACTTGTTTATTCAGTATGATGACATTCTACATTGTCACACACAAAGTATTTCAATTGAAACAATCCCCGGCAAAAAGCTATGAAAATGAAGTATTTTCATAACTGGCAGTTCAAAAGTTTCTACAAGAACGAATGTGAAACAAAAACCTCACCGGAAATGGATTAGTTCAAAATGCAACGAATGCATAAAAACCGCTGTTCTTCATATTTTGAAGCTATTGACCATATTTAGAAAACAGATAGCTTGAACTACATCTTCTACGGAACTTACTAGAAATATGCATTCATTGGACTGAATAACATATCAACACATTTTATTATACTCTTTTTCTCTTAATAATGAGCATGCTAAATGATCCTGGATAATACGATTAGAATAAAATTCAACTTCCAAAGAAATAATTAAAAGCACTCTAGCTCATTGGCTGAGGTTGAAAATGCCGAAGTTGTTCCACTTACATCGCCCACCAGGTTCGAACCCCGCTCCGCCTATTAAGGTTAGGGCTGCCGGATAGTATCGTTAGCTACCACACAAGTGCATGGATTTGCACGCGGTTGTTGAGCGCATTTCTACCCATATTTGTGAGTTAAGCAAACAATATTAGATTTGATATCGTGGAGATGATGCTGAAATTGAATCCTACTAAAAAAAACCTATGAAAATAATCCAAGAAAGCAAAGTGGGAAAGGAAGGAAGTTATGAACATTACCAAGTGAAAATATATGACGCATGCTCATTACGCAAAGCGACTCGGGTTTGTCCGCCTACTGGACCACCAACAATGCTAGACTCTAAAATGAGAAAGAAAATAATATAAGAATCTGTTTCAGAATTATAATAGCAGGATGACTAAAAAATGATCAAAATTCGTACAACTGATAAGTTTTTTATTAAAAAGTTCTTATTGCAATAATAATCTTGAAGTATTCTATATTCCGTACACTTAGAAAAGATTACTTAAAAGGCAAACAACTTTCACCGTCTCTTTGAATATAATGATGATGTATGACAAGCAAAAATACTGATTTTGTTCATATAACGTACTTACTGGATACTGCCGGATGCTCATTTTACTTCTCAGGATATTTCGACTGTCCTTCGTAAACCCATATTCATTCAGTTGACCAAAATAAGTTGTTTAAATAGATCTGTGTAGATTTGAAACGCTTGGAAAAAAGCAAGTACTTGCCTCTTGAAGTACTACATTCAAAAACCCCTCCTCCCAACCTTTTTCAGGCAAAATATCCTCTGATGAAAACTTTACACTTCAAGACAAACTGCAGTGGGTCTTTGCAGCTCTATCATATGCACTGTACAACTATTAACATTAAAAAGGAATCTTACAAACACATTTATCCTACAGAGGAATTTATGGGAAACGAAAGCTTTCCGTACAACCACTTTTAATCCATCTTTTTCGAGTGGATTATACCATGTAGGTTGATTAAAAGAAAATATAAATTTTAAAAATACAATTGAGAATCTCTAGACGGATAGAAAGCACTTTTTAAAGGGCATCAGTAACCGTCAATCATGCAGTTACAACAACAATTTCTTAGTTTTCACCTTGTCAGTGAAGGGTTATTATCTTTTCAACCTAAGTTATTACTTTTCGCATGCTTCTGATTGCACATAATAATAATTCTTACTTTCAAGCCTAGAGGTTACTACTTCACGCTTGGCTTTGTGTACTTTTTGATACGTTATCAGTTTAGTTGATACTATAGAAATTCTAAATGCATTTAAACAACGGCGGCGATTTTGCTAGTTCGCTTTATTCAGTTGAAGTAGACAGCTTTAAATAATGTGCCTCATTTATGCCTGCAGGGTTAACAGGGTTTCGTTTATAAAAGAGAAAGGTTGCCAACTATATATTGTCAAGTTAACCTTTCACAGAAGTAGGCGCACGAGTATGCGACGAGTCGTTAGCCAAAGCTCTAGCATCTCGAGTCATCATGTGTCTGTGCGTGTGTGTGTTGGGTTCGTGAGAAACGTCTGTCTCACATGATAAATACAAAGAGTCTTCAGAATTCATCCTCCAAGTTTCTGGAGATTCGATGACTACTTTTCGCGGTCTTGCAGGTGTACGTGTAACAATGAGTCATAAGCCAGCAAGTATATAGCTTAAAAGAATCCTAATCGATAGTCCTGGTTGCGCTGCTAGATTGATCGATACAGAGAAGACTAAAAAATGGTGAAACTCGCTGTCGACTCATTCTAATTTCTTACCACCCACTTAACAACAGCAATTAACCAACTGTTCTGAAAATACCTAACCTCTCCGTACTATGAACTTTTCAGCTGATTACCCAATTTATTGCGATTGTATTGATTTTGCTGTTTCTATACATGGAATGTATTTTTTATCATTATCATTTTCGGTTTTGTCCTTATTTCTACTTCACTCAGCTGCTTTTCACTGCTTAGACTTCTGGCCTGCCTGTACCGTTTTCAGTCGCTAAACAGTTGCACCCATAAAACTGTCCTCCAGTGCGACATCTGATACACCTTTCCTGAAACCCAAGTATGTCGTTTAAGCTCGCCACCTTCAACGTTCGCACCTTGATGCAGATCGAACATGTAGATTTGGCTAGGAGTCAGGAAAGCGTTGCTATTGATGTATGCTGGATCTCAGAGACCCGAATACATGATCCTGGTGAAGTGCTTCGAATTAGTTCCCCATCTGTCAGATCGAAAAGTATGTTTCGTGTGCGCTTATCCTAGAACCCTGTGGCATAGGCTGCTGGCCTCATTGTTGTCGGTGCCCCATTAGGCGCTCGATCCAAAGCTGCACTACTCGACTAGATTCTCACCAACAGTCATCTGTGTGCTGTTAGGTTAGGAGGTTCATTACGGATAAGTAACTGGCAAGAGGACTGATGTCTCTTTCTCATTTCTGCCTATGCTCCGACGGATTACAGTCGTAGTGCAAACAAGGATGAATTCTGTCATCAACTGAGTGACCTTCTCAACCAAGTGCTCTCGACAGATATCGCAGTGCTAGCTGAAAACTTGAATGCGCAGGTCGGACATCTAGGTTCAGAGGACAGTCGTGTAAATGGTCAATAAGGATTAGTTGACCTCACCCAGTAGGATAAAGTCTGGCTACCAATCCTCCAGAAAGTGTAGACGGGCATGAGTCGCACTTGCAAGACGCCATAAAAATAGGGAGTAAAGTCGCTTGCGACTTAAAAGAACCTCCCGCCAATGACCACTGGGTCTCTGAGAGCTCCCTGCAACTTCTTGACGCCCATCGGACCATTCCGGTGGATATTGAGTGCAAGTGTTCGCGTAAGTCTCTTACGTGGAAGACTACACAACGCTTACACACGGACCACGTGGCTTGGTGAAGAGAACGCGCGAGTGAGATGGAGGCAGCTGCATCTGGCAATATAGTCAGAAGCTGTCCTAGTTCATCCGAGCAACTGGTGTCAGTGAAATGGTGTGTGAGGCAGGTAGTATGCCGATAGACAATCTTCAAAGACACCTTAAACGCTGAATGGAGCACTTCGAAAAGCAGATTAGCTGAACCACAGCTCCAGCGTCTTCAGTGTATCGTACTCCATTGTCAGTTAATACTGCACAACCTAACGAAGCGAAGGTTCATAAGGAACTTCAAGTTCTGAAAAGTAACAAGGTATATGGCCCAGAAAAATCAAACCAGACCCTTTTTAGGGAGCGACCGACGACTCTATTCAGAGAACTGACTAGCTTGTTAAAGAAGGTATGGTAGACTGAGAGTGTTCCATCACTCTGAAATGAGGCTATCAGTGTGCCCATCTTGAGAAAGCGTCTACATAATATATATAACAATTATCAAAGTATGAATCTGTGTCGAAAATATTGGCTTCTATCGTACTTCGCAAACTTTACAGAGCACGTGGTGGAATAAATGGCGAGGAGCAGGCTGTGTCTCGTCTAGGCAATGGAAGCATCGATTATCAGATACTTGAACATCGACACACGTATTGTAGGTCAAAAATCGTTGTGTTTCCTGATATTACAGATGTCTTCTATTAGATGGAAAGGGCTTTAGTCAGGAATTATCTAATGGAGAGAGGCACACCACGCAAACTTAATAACATCTTGAAAGTCCTACATAATAACACCTCAGGTAGAGTAAAGTCACACAACTAAATGTCTCCACTGTTCCAAACCAGCAATGGAGTTAGGCGAGGTTGCACGATTTCTCCACTTCTCTTTAAATTTGCCATCGATGACATTCTTGAGACAGCTCTGAAGGAGAGGCGTTATGGTGGTGTACATCTACCACCCGGAAAACAGCTATTCGACCTTGAATATGCAGACGATGTCGTCTTACTGTCCGATAACACACAGGCTACTCAAGTCGCACTTAATCAGTTGGCGATTGGTGTCTGTAAGTATCGTTATATTTGCTTTGCACCACTGAAGTGGAGAGAACTTTTGCGAGATTGGCATAATCCCGTGCTTGCGCTCACCCCTAGGTGGTGAGTCGTTGGAAGTAGTCGAAACATTCGTGTATCTGCGTAGCTGTGAGTGATGAAATTTCTAACCACATAGCGTAAACCAGAGTGGCACACGCCAATCTGGTCCACCTTTGGCGCCGTCGTGACGTAAGTTTGACCGTAAAAGATCGGGTTTACAACGCTTCGGTGCGAGGAGTTCTGCCCTACGCCTGTGAAACCTGGCCTCTCCAAGCTGAAGATGCGTGATGACTGTGTGTGTCCGATCATCGTTGTCTCCCTAGGGCTGCTCGCATACGGTAGCTGCACCATGTAAGTAATTCTGGGTACAACAGCGTGTTTAGGTATGGTGGTGGTCGTCATTCAATAAATGAAGTCATCTGGAAACACCGGCTTCCTTGGTTTGGACATGTGTCACACATGCGTCCCAATGGCTTCCACACCGTTCATTGTTTACTAGTCCTGGGACTGGATGCAAGAAGCGGAGGGGTGGTCAGTGTGTGACGTGGTGCAGTGGAATGAAGGATAGTTGTATCTGGTTAGCATCGGCTGGTGCATCACGACTCTCCGGGTGGCGTCCGAGAAATCAGGCAACTCAGTGGCTTCAGACGTTATCAAACATAGCTCAGAACTGAAACCGGTAATGGTTATGCTGTAACTTCCTTCTATCTTTTGAAAAGTAATGAATGGTTTGTTTTTAATGTATCTTATTGGACTGTCTTTCTAACCAGTCTATTCCTACTGTGTTTTTCTTTTTATCCATCTCCACTCGCTTTGTCTTCAGAAGTGTTATACTATTTTGTGTGGTGCATATCTTGGTGCCATCGCTGTACCATGTTTGTGTTCCAATAATAATGACAATTTGGCTGGGCATATAGTTACACAGTTTTGTTTACTGGAGGGTGCTTCGAACACAAGATATTGATCGCAATAATATGATTACCATATTAAACAAAAATCTGTCACAAATGTTATTTAATTCAGGCTTATGTAGCGGGAGCATGCTGAGTGCCTTGCGAGTGTGGTTCATAAAAAGCAAGCCATGAGTTCTGCATTCACCAACAAAGCTCGGCGACAGCCGATAACTAGACGTGGTTGTCGGGCTGGTATACCGTAGTGACCAAGTGAGCTACACTGGCTACATCGCCTGTCAGCGAAACCGGACGATAGCTGCTACCCTGACGTGCTTGTAAGGCTTACACATCACAATACCCAACAAACTATGCTGGTGGAACGCTTGTTCCTAGAACGCCAGTTGAGTTCGTTGGATAGTGGTAAGACGAAAAGCCCGTAACGTTGTGGCGTAAACCAGTACATTATGATGACGGTCTCAGGGCGAAGTCGTA